TGTGTTGAGTGAGAGAGAGAGAGAGAGGAGAGAGAAGAGAAGAGAGAGAGAGAGAGAGAGAGAGAGAGAGAGAGAGAGAGAGAGAGAGAGAGAGAGAGAAAGAGAGAGAGCGAGAAAGCCTATTTCCTAAAGATGTTTTCCCTGTGTGGTTTCTTGTGACATACCTAACAGAAGGATGATGGTGAAGCTGACCGGCGTGCTCGTGCCAAGAAGACTGATGAGCACCAGCCAGACGATCCGGCACCAGCCAACGTAGAAGAAGAGGTGGACAGCGACGAAGAAGCAGCAGAGGATGAAGTTGTAGAGGAGGAAGTACCCGTAAAGAAGGCATCGCCAGCACCAGCAAAGGCTTCGCCGGCACCAGCAAAGGCATCGCCGGCACCAGCAAAGGCATCGCCCGCACCAGCAAAGGCATCGCCAGCACCAGCAAAGGCTTCTCCTTCAAGAAAGGGCAAGAAGGCCGATGTCAAAGTTGTTCCTGAACCGGAGGTAGAGCCGCCGCGCGTGGCAGCTCTAGAGCCGGAACCAGAAATAGCGTCTGCGCCGTCAGCATCGGCTGCAGCATCAGCAGAGCAGGAGCTTGGCTTGGTACGGTGCTGCCCTGGTGTGTGTGTGTGTGTGTGTCTGTCTGTCTGTCTGTCTGTCTATATGCGATGGTGCACGTGTGTGGCTGTGCGTGCATGCATGTGTATTGTGTATGTGGCTGTGCGCATTATTATGCGTTTGACTGCTACTGTGCATGCGCACACACACACACACACACACACACACACACACACACACATTTCACGTTATTATCAGTACTATGTGTTGCATCTCACTGCAACAGGTCTAGTTACCCCCAGCCACCACCGCACAATGAAAAGCTATGGAACAGTACGGTCATCGGATATTCACACGTCTCCGAAAGGAGTAACGATCAACCAGAATGTGTTGTGAGATTTCACCGTGTCGTTTGCAATTGCCCCCCCCCCCCCCCCCCTAGTGTCGGGTGTCCCATGTGTTTTTCTGACTGTCTTTCCTGTTCTGTTGGTTTGTTTTCTTTTGGTGTTCTTCCTTTCTGCCCGTTTGCAGCCCGATGCAGCAGAAGATGAACCTAGGTAAGTGCTCTGCACAGAACACAGGATAAATGTCCGTGTACGAGCGGGTGCCCGCGCGCACATACAATCATGCATGTGTTGCAGGCAGCCATATAATCCGGGGAGACGACACCGGCAGGTTGATCGCGACCCAACATGGTCTTTGCGTTCCATTTGCCCTTGTGGGTAGGGCCAATCTGCATACTTGTGTACGCCATTGCTGGCTTGGGCATTGTACATGTCAGCAGTTCATGACCGCAATCTAACGCTGCGGAGATCATAGATGACGTGCAGCTTCATGACCCAGAGTTGAAACGTGCATCACTCCAGCTGCTACGGTCTCGTGTCGTCCCTCCCCATACGTATAATATGCTATGACTCCCTGGGTCTCGGCTTCATTGCAACCCGAGTGCTCCGCAGAAGCAAACGACTGCAGAGCATTGTGCAGGGGTGATTCCTGGGCAAGATACAACATCATTGAGTTTGGGAGAGAAAGGAGGAGGGAACAGAAGTAGGACATTTTTAGTTTACGGTGAAAGACAAACGCACACACACACATGCCTCCAACACCCGCAAGCACCATCATTATAAGTATACAGTCTTGGTGAGAGGTGTGGCAATTTCAGAGAAGGGCCTGGGTCAGAGCTACCTGTCATTGCGCTCGTTACATCAGCTCCCATGATAACAATCATCTGTATACATGCGTTAGAGCTGCAGTGTTGACTGTGCACAATGGACAGATGTGTGTGTACAGCCAGGTGCATTGAATCACGAAAAACGACAGAATTCTGGGAGAGAGAGACGAGAGAGAGAGAGACGAGAGACGAGAGAGAGAGAGAGAGAGAGAGAGAGAGAGAGAGAGAGAGAGAGAGAGAGAGAGAGAGAGAGAGAGAGAGAGAGAGAGAGAGAGAGAGGGAGGGAGGGAGGGAGAGGGAGAGGGAGAGAGAGAGAGAGAGAGAGAGAGAGAGAGAGAGAGAGAGAGAGAGAGAGAGAGAGAGAGAGAGGGGGGGTGTCACGACAGAGTCTTTATGTAGAGTTGTGTTTTTGAACGTTGCCCATTGACCGCTGTTCCCCGCTGCATTCCAATCTGTATGCCTGTGTGTTTGTCTGCCGGTCGTTCTTCATGTGCAGGCGATCACCTCGCAAGCCGACGAAGAAGAAGGTGCGCCGTGAGAATTAGGTGCAGTGCACTTGATCTCACTAATTCAATTTAGCCATCTTTTTTTTTCTTTTTCGAATTCTATGATCAAACGGCGCTCCCGGGACGAAGCCCTGACACCCACCCACCACCACCCACTTGTACTCTTTTTTTAGTACATGTTTGCTCCTAGTGCATCACGTGTGCTGAGACGCGTGGACGAGCAGACACGTGCGAGTGCAGGCCCGTGCCCTTTGTGTTGTCCCGTCCGTTTGCCCGGCTTGCCTCTCGCCGGACAGTGTACCTGTGCACCTCTCCGCGCTATGCTGTTTTTGTTGTGGCGACCTGCTGCAGTGCCTGTCAGCGATAACCAACGTGCGTTATTTTAATCGCTGCGCTGTTACTTTGTAATTCTATATACGTCTCAGAGTACATGTACTGTGTTTTGCTCGATGCAGACAGTGATTTATCAAAATATGCAATCATTGCAATGCCTACACTACAGTCCATCCATCCCAAACTGGCACCCTGGTGTTTTGGTCTCTGCAGTGTGTATTGCTAGCTACATTGGAAGCAACCCTATGCATTATTCCCAGTGCAGTTTCCCTCGGTGCATATATGGGCGAAAAGTCAAAGGATACTGGTTGCAAAATGTACGGGGAAGGTACCAAACCCCCAAAAATTGGATTTTAAAGTGAATCGAATGTTAAAGATAAGTCTTCGTCCTCCCCACCTCACGGCACCATAGCGCGCATGGGTGTAAGATACATAAGCAGCATGATAGCACAGTGCTGTCATGTTAATGGTCATACTGATAAAAATAAGGAAAGGAAGAACACACTGAAATGGAAAGAATTGTTTATTCGGCAAATACGACATATTTCCAGTACGTGTATTCCAATCATGCAGTCAGTCCAGCAACGCACAGTTTAATACTTAAACTGCACCGTATGTTTGGAAAAGCAAAGAGATGTGATGACGTACAGCAAAAAGATGTGATGATGTACAGCAAAGAGATGTGATGATGTACAGCAAAGAGATGTGATGATGTACAGCAAAGAGATGTGATGATGTACAGCAAAGAGATGTGATGATGTACAGCAAAGAGATGTGATGATGTACAGCAAAGAGATGTGATGATGTACAGCAAAGAGATGTGATGATGTACAGCAAAGAGATGTGATGATGTACAGCAAAGAGATGTGATGATGTACAGCAAAGAGATGTGATGATGTACAGCAAAGAGATGTGATGATGTACAGCAAAGAGATGTGATGATGTACAGCAAAGAGATGTGATGATGTACAGCAAAGAGATGTGATGATGTACAGCAAAGAGATGTGATGATGTACAGCAAAGAGATGTGATGATGTACAGCAAAGAGATGTGATGATGTACAGCAAAGAGATGTGATGATGTACAGCAAAGAGATGTGATGATGTACAGCAAAGAGATGTGATGATGTACAGCAAAGAGATGTGATGATGTACAGCAAAGAGATGTGATGATGTACAGCAAAGAGATGTGATGATGTACAGCAAAGAGATGTGATGATGTACAGCAAAGAGATGTGATGATGTACAGCAAAGAGATGTGATGATGTACAGCAAAGAGATGTGATGATGTACAGCAAAGAGATGTGATGATGTACAGCAAAGAGATGTGATGATGTACAGCAAAGAGATGTGATGATGTACAGCAAAGAGATGTGATGATGTACAGCAAAGAGATGTGATGATGTACAGCAAAGAGATGTGATGATGTACAGCAAAGAGATGTGATGATGTACAGCAAAGAGATGTGATGATGTACAGCAAAGAGATGTGATGATGTACAGCGCAGACTGTTTACAGTAGAGTTGGACGCCCTAACTTGTTTCCATGGGGTTAGCCTGGGGCATTCTTATCTTTCAGCAATCTTGCTGCCTTCTGATAGCACGTTCTTAGAAACAATTTGTATTGGATCATTAAATATTCCAAAAGCTGCCGGAAAACCAACACCGTCATTTAGGCTGTGGCGTTCTTAGCATTTCAGGTTGGACGTTCCGTTGAACCAAGAGTACATAACCCCCCAGAGTGTGCAACACCTGATCCGGCTCTGCATAGGGTCTTGGTCGAGCATAATCGGATCTTTGCGTCATATTATACATACTGTGCACATCTGAGGGGAACCCGGGGAGTCGCGGGTACTCTCGGATCAAAATCAACGGTACTCTGCCTCGAGACCGGCCTTGTGCTGGTGTGGAGTGTACGCATGACATCAGAAGATCCAATTACGCTCGACCAAGACCCTATGCAGAGCTGGATCAGGCGTTGCACACTCTGGGGGGTTATGTACTCTTGGTTGAACGTAGCACAGGGCAGCGCCAGCAGAACTCTGCGATGAATACAATGCTATGCTATCTGCAAACTGGATGCTGGGTACAGGGTGCAGGACGGAGGGAATGTGGCGGGTGTACATGTAAATGGAAAATAGCACAGGACCTAGAACAGATCCTTGCGGCACCCCGCACATGCAGGGGGTGGCCTGACTCGTGGTTGGCCCAATGCAAACCATCTGCTCTTGCGTCGTCAGGTAGCTTACAAACCAGGCGGGGGCGATTCGCACACACCGACATCAAACAGATCAACAATGAGCTGGGTGTGGCAGACTTTGTCAAAATGCTTTCGACATGTCCAATGTGCATAGTCCGGTCACATTTCCCCTGTCCTTGGCAGCGAAGAGACTGTCAGTGGGAAGGCAGAGGGCATCCACAGAGGAGTGGTGCTGACGGTATCATCAATGGGTTGTAAGGAGGCACTGGTTGGTTCGAAGGTGGCGTTGGACGACCTTCGCCGGTAGCAATTGTGAGTCAAGTTTGCGCCCTGTAGCAGTGCCTGCACAGCGGCACACACAGTGGTCACAAGTCTGGAGCTGCACAGCGCCCCGACCTGCATGACGTACTCTTTTCATAGCACTGTAGCAACAACTGCTTACATGGCAATGACACTGATAATGATTATGTTACATTGGGTACTGAGTACTTGCATTGATCATACCCATACTGTACTACCACAGTCCACAGCCGTCTCCTTGCCAGCTTATTGCACTCAGTACCGAGAGAAAACTTGCACACGTTTCTCATAATAATTCTCTCATCAAATTTGCAGGGCATCACAATTCCAACACAGACCCATTACAATAATTATAGAATCGATATCAGATAGAGGTCTGACACTAGTGTAGAGGGGACGGTTTCAAATAGGACACAGGTTGCAAACCGGAACGGACTCAATATTCACTTTCTCTCTTGGTATTTTGATTAGAAAACATATGTCACAGTGAGACTTCGATGTGTTATACTCCGAGTCAAGATTTCATGGCTCTGCGATGACCAGAAGCGCCATATCAAGCAGGTGAGTTTTTGACGTGTTGCTTCGCACTGCGACTTGAGTTTTACGACTTTCAAAAAATCAACTTCTTGTCGCAGGTAAACAGCGGCTCGCCTCTCGCCAATAAAGCACCGCATACCAATCAAAACTAATGGAAACACACACAAGGCTTATTGTTACTCTGTACTGGCCGTCGTGGAGCGATAGCAATTACCTAATTTCAGACCCAGAGTGAATTTGACGTGCACTCTAAAACGTGTCCGGTTTGGAGCCACCTTTGATTTGAACTTTTTTGAAGCGAAAAATTGGGCAACTTGGAGGTAATCATGGTAATGGGTCAACACAAAGGAGTGGCTCAGTTCGATTGACTCTGGCCCCAGAGCAAACTTCAACATGCCAGTTTCCTTCCACAAACATATTTCGAGTGAAAAATCAACGCTGATGATCGGTTTGGGTCTATACAAATTTGGCTGTCAAAGCGTCCCGGTATCGAGCCGTCCCCTCTACATCTATGAAGCCAAACTTTGTTTTCATGTTCCCAAGTCACTCACTGTTTCTCCGTGATATGAGTGTTCTTCGTCAATCACCTTTCAGCTTGTACTTCCGCAGGTGATGCCTTGCTTCCAGCCGTTGTCGCACTTCGCCCAGCTCAGGCACAGCATCGCCCAGGGCCTGAAGCGGCTGACCCATTCGCCCGCACCACTGGCGGGTATGTTCAAGCATTTCCATCTCCGCTGCTCCCAACGACTGCGACAGTTGCAGCTCGAGCAGCTGGGCCGACAAGTGCAGGTGGTCGTCCATCGAGCGACGCTCCACATCCCGCAGCAGGAAATCGTATCGCTGGGTCGTGCTGGCTATGGTATCCAGCATGCGCTGACGATGCTTCCGCATGACGGCCGCCTCGTCCGCAGCCAAGGTCGCCGCTGCATCCCGCCTGACGGAGTCTGCCAGCGATGAGCACCGCTTGCTATGATCCTGCGTATAATCTGACCGGAGTTTCCCTGTGGCCTCGTCTACCTTGTTTTTCAACCTGGTCGCCTCTCGATCGGCTTCTTTTTCCAGCTCTGTTTGTAAATTTTCCCGTGCTCGCAGGCAGCGCCTCGCGAACTCTTCCGACTTCTTCCGGCTGTCTTCCTCCATTTCCCGCTCCTTTTCAGCAAGAAGTAGCTTTGTTTTCTCATCCATTTGCCGTATCATTTTTTCAGACGTTGTCTCGCATGCTTTCGTGAGTGCCGTTGCGAACTTGTCGACTCGATCCTCGCAACTTGTGCGTATCTCCTCGACCCGTCGCCGCTCTTGCTGACCATGGGCCGTGTTCAATGCTCGTTCAAACAACGATATTTTTTCGTTGAGAATTTGTTCAACGCTGGGAAGCATGTCATCACATTCCGGCCTATAATTGTGGCCATTTGAAGGCTGCTTTGAGTTCGCCATTCTGGTCATACATCCGAGGACAATCTTGGGCTAACAAACATGAAAATCGAATGATGAAAGCAGACTTCATAACAGTACGGCTCTGTATCGCAAGACGCACAATGACATCTACCTACAAGATCAGGAGTACACGCTTCAACTACAATGTAGCAATGACTATGTAGATCTACAGCCTAGTAGTACCAATGATGTCCATGACTCATGAGTACTACCTAGTACCTACAGCCTAGGCAGCTAGCTAGCCACTGACACAGTGACAGCTGGGTCCTTCCTTGCATGTTCACACCATGTACAATCATGTAGACCACCATGTACCACTGCATCAGTTACCGCAGAGATGCCGGTACTAGCCCAGTGCAGTGTGTGACCAATGAAAGACCATGGACTGGCATGGTAGACCTACTGTCGACATGTCGTGGACATGGAAATCCAGTCGATTGACCTGGGCCGGCGCCCTCAGCGCGTACAGAACGTTGTGCTGATCTGAATCTGATGCGACCAGTGCAGTGCGCTGCAGCGCATAGTACATCTGGTACATGTACATGAACATGACTATTGTTGGACTGACAGCATGAAACAAGGGTTAGGTGGAGGACACTGAGTCTGTGTTCGGAAACAGTGACCTTACTACAGCCTTCCGCGGTTGGCAGAGCCCCGGTCCTGGGCGGTCCCTTCGGACCATTTGAACCATATGGGTGTTGAACCGGGTTCTGACCCTCATTATGCTAGGGGAGTTTTCATGGTTTTAGACTTCTCCTTACATGTACATGTACGTCCGTCGTGTATTCTTTGATCGCTCCTGGATATCGTCCTGGAAGTCATGTACATGTAGCAGTTACTAACAAGGTTTATCTAATACTGGTTTACCAGTTTGGGATTATATCATATGTAGCAGTTACTAGTAAAATACTACACAACAACGTACGGTGACAGTCTACTCCATCCAGCAGAGCTGCATTTCCAATACCTCACCAATTTTGAAGCCAATATGCCAACAATTTTTTTAGCTGATTTGGGGAAAAGCCTACTTATGACAGGCACTCTTCCTTGAAATCTTCCTTGAAGTCTGCTCCATTTCTTTAACACCACGTACCAAACATGCTGTTTTCTGATGATGGATTAGTTCGTGAAACTCAGAGTTAAAACACTTTTTTCATCTTCTTGTTCTCGAGGCTAGTTGTTGGAGGTGACAGCGTTGTGAATAGCTACTAGTACTGGCTCTCAACGTCTGTTTAGCACAACTCCATGAGCGACTCATGACGTCATGCTGCTACTCGAAGTACAATGTACATGTACCTGGGACTTCACGAGGTGTTTGTCGCGCTGGAAACAACGCGTTTACAGGGTTTATCGGGTGTTAGCGGCCGTCGTGAGTTCCCTTCGAGAACGGACACGATTTTTTTTATTTTACTCTTTTTTTTTAAACAACGCGTCTCTGTGAGTACTAGTTTGTATCCCTGGTAATGATTTGACCTCGAGAGCACTATAACTTATAAGTGGTGCTTTTCAGGCACAATCTTCCTCAGCCTACTCATGCTCAACTGATGAGCCTGGGTGAATTCCCCGAAACACTGTGTATCGAGCAGGGAGTGGTGCTGTCTTGCGGGTTTGCCGAGTGGAAGGTGCGACGTGCTCCTCGTGTGCGCCGGATGGCAGCCTAGCCGTGAGTCAGTCAAGTATCAAGTTCAGCAAGAAGCGTGTGTTCCTCGTTGGCACAACCAACCAACTTGATGACTAATACCACCCAAGTCGCAACTTCTAAGTTCCTCTTATTCTTGTTGTGCCAAACAGGCATGAAACATACCAGAACAAGTACATGTACCATGATGTACCACATTTGGCCAATTTCTCTGCCTGCGTTATCCGCAAAGGGCTCGGTAACTACACGTGCACCTCGGCACCTTGGCGGTTCTAGTAACAGATCTACTACATAGTGACTGCAATCATACGCATCTCGGTGATTCTATAACTATGCATCATAAGACATACATGTACAAGGAGGAAAACTTCCTTCTGCCAGCGGAGAGGGCTCAACACGATAATAATGTGGAGCACTATTACACACAAAAAGGCACAACGTGTAGCCTGATGATTGCATTGAGCAAGAAACTCTGAGTTGCGACAAACCTGTAAACCTCCGTTGTGCCCTTTGTGTATCGTGAGACATAAGTACAATGTACTTCTGAAGTATTAACTTAATACTACTAAGTACATCTGCAGTCAACTTCGCTTATAACGACACTCGGCGGGGTATCAAAAAAGTGTCCTTATCCGCGAAGTGTCGTTATACCCGAAGTCTCAATAATAATAATATCAAGAGTAGATAAACAAGAGTGTGCAACTCGCGGATGGGTTGGCCCACGGCGGAATTTTTTGTTGACGTAATCTTTTCGACGACGCACGCGCTGCGAGCCTTTTGGAGAGGTTTCCCTCGTGCACTTGGCGGGGCTTTACACTACAAGGTCAGTGCCCAGCACGTTCTCTCACACTGCTCTGCGGCAAAGTCCGCGTTTCCCTGAAAAAAGGTGACGTCAACAAAAATTTCCGCCGTGGGCGGGGGTATCTGCAGATTGTGCAGGAGAGATCCGCGTCCGGAGTTGCACACTCTTGTTTATCTACTCTTGATAATATGTATTACACTGGGATGGGACTTTGCTCTGGGCATGGAAATTATGTCGTTATTCGCGAATTGTCGTTATATCCGCAGTCGTTATTAGCCAAGTTGACTGTACATTTTGTCTCCAGCTACTAGGGGTAAGCGGGTTATGCTCGGAAAATGACCAGATTATGCTCTAGCGGATGCTCTAGCGGATGCTCGAGAAAACAGCAAATTATGGAAATTATGCTTTCATATTCTTCACCAAAAAGACCAAATGAACAGATAACCGTCATGAGAAAGGACTCAGACCATCGTTATGATGTGGACTAGGAGCTTTGTGGAAGTGCAAGAAAATAATATGCAAGAGAAATACCAAATTCACAAGCAAACCCTGAACTTTTGGCAGATGTCCTGTGGTGGCTACTAAAATAATTATTATTCTAAATCAACAAGAATATGTATGGTCCTCCAATTGCAGGTGTGTATATTATAACAGCCTCATTGGGCATCTGCCCTTGTTTTTCGGGTGCCATGTTTTGCTCCTTCTCAAACAGGACCTGATTATGCCAAAAATTGTCCCGTCATAATCCGCTTTCCCCTACCAGCTGCCACTGTTCTTGTAGTGGTGGTGATCGTCGTCGTCGTCGTCGTTGTTGTTGTTGTGGTTGTCACACCTTTTCTTTCTAAATAATTAATCGCCATCACTAACAGGCTGGCAGGCGTGTATTTACCACCGACAGACTGTTATAAGTACAATGTATGCCAACTCATACTACCGTACACATGTGTGCAGTTTAATAATAATAATAGTGACATCGAAGAACATGTTTTGGCTGAACTGAAGAGGTGGCCACAGATCCCCACAATGCCCAGACAGATCGCCACGATTTTTAATATTAGTACTTGCTTACCAAGAGTACATAACCATTGGTTATGTACTCTTGGTATTACCAATAATGGTTACAAAGAATTCACCCAGTTCAATGAAAGCGCTCCCAGGCGTCGTGCTGTGAAGCAGCTCATCACTACTTGTATGGGAATACAACCTTTTTGTACACAATCTAACAGCAACGGTAGGGTCGGAAGGGCTCTGATGTGGATCATAAGCGGTAAGGCAATGTTAGAATCTCTCAGCCAACAGGCAGAAAGCGAGTCTTGTCAGCGACTCGACTCAAAGATGCCTTCAATGAACGCTATTTTCAAATCGAAAAGCAGTCGCCTGCATAACTTCAACTGGATGTATTCACTACAGAAGAAAACTCAGCATCCTTCCGTACAAAAATACTAGTAACTACGACACGAGCACTGCCGCTTATTTCTTTCCATTAGACGCTCCAGCAAGCCGGCAAGCACTCAAGCGCTGTGCCATCCTTATGTATCTTGTCTGCACCGGGTAGAGCCGTCGAAGGCAGTCGATCACGCGGGCGAACATGTTGCTGCGCTCTTGGAATCTCGAACGCCAGGTGAATTCGGCCAGGAAATCCTCGGTAATGTGCAAGTACTCGTCTCGCTCCTCGGCGCTGTGCTGGCTGCGCACGAACTGGTCAATGCGCTTGCAGAGTTTGCGAATGTTCCTGGCGTGGACTTTGTCTGCTCTGTTGTGTTCCGGATCTGGGACTCGCAGTCGGTACGTTCCTTCCGGGAAGTATGCCGCGTCGTCGAAGTGTCTCGATATCACGTAGGTGTTCTGTCTGATACTGGCATGTATTATCTTCGAAACTGTGTTGGGCAGGAGATCGGCTATAGTCGTAGCGAAGCATCGATTGGTGCTGCGCTCCACGGCCACGAAGGCACGCATGTCGCTTCTTGCGTTGAGATCGCATATTGCCACATCGACTTTCCGCCACCTCTCATCTTGGTCACTCCGGCAACCGCCGAGTTTCAGAGGGAAGGTAGCATTCCACTCCCGGCAGAGTCGTCGTAGAGTCGCATACGCACTTGTCACGCTCTCACAAGTCATACCCAGCTGCTCGCTGAGGAGCCTGGAGGGAGTTTCGACCGACCACTGATGAAGGATGAGAACCAGGCAGCGGAGGCTGAGCGGCAGGCGGAAGTACGGGCCGGTCCGCAGAGAAAGTCTCGTCTGCCGGCAAGCGCACTGCCACATCAGGCCATCCTGTTTCCTAGGAGCATCCACGAGCGTACACTCTTTGCAACACCAATGACACACGACACCATTTAGGACCAGTCCTCGAGCGGCCAAGAACCGGACGACCGATTCGACAGTGTCCCCCAGCACTTCTCCAAGGGTGTCCTTCGTCCATTGCTGCGAGAAGAGTTCCGTGTCCTTTATCAATTCCTTCGTGTCCACAAAACTACCACGAGAAACAAATGACGTCATTCCAGCAGATATCGCTTCCAGTCACAACCTTCTTTCAAGTTCTGTTATAGACGAGCTCCTGGGACTAAATCAATTACAAGGGACCGGGGAGGAGACAGTCGAACGTTGTAATAATTATTATCGTTGCAAAGCATTGATTGCAG